AGAGTGCAAGATCAAGCACCTTTCTCATCTTGAGAAATATCGTCGCAAGTTCCAGATTATCGCGACATCACTTGAAGCATGCCACCAGTTGAGTTCCATAGACCGGGATGACTATTTTTATTCCGGACTGCCCAAGAAGTTCAGGAAGAAGCTCAAGAGTGAGCTTCGGGTGCAGCGCTTGTGGTCTGACTTGACCAAGCCACCCGAGATGCAGAATGTTGTCAAAGTTGCCAAGTCATTGCTTAGCCCTGACAAATATGATTGTTCTGACGGATAAGACACATATGACGATGCAGATATGTCTGATTCAGACTCAGAGGACGGATCCTCCATAGCTGACCCGAGCCCAGACTCAGAAGGTGACAATGTGAGTTGCAGCCGCATGCAAGAGACCAGAACCAAGTCGATTGCCAGTGAACCAGTGAGTTCAGTGCTGAGAGACACAAAGTCTAGCCCACAGAGTGATGCCCAGTGAAAGGTTATCTTACTAATTTGGGGACGGTAACGTTCCGTTCCCCTGTTCACCTCAGGCCTCAGATGGTCTGTCAGGTATATGCTTTGATATGCTGTATATTAATGGGGTAGAAGTAAAGGCTGCTCCGCCTTTTACAGCTACCCCGAGGGTTTATATACAATCTAATGCATTCTCGGCACAAATAAATAGAGAAGCTTCCACGATGCTAAATTAGCGTTGTGACATAATTATTAGACAACACAACATCAACTGATGTTGTGGGCAGAATATAGACATGGGCTGGGGCCTCACATCGTCCTCCCTTGCGATATTAAATTGCAGACAGGGTACAAGCATAATATATACACAAGGGGAAAGCAAGCATTTTAAAGAAATAAAATTTTAACGTTCTACATACGAAAGATGTATGCAAACGGGGGCACACTCATTGCAGGAGGCTATAATAGTAGTTTGTAGGCGAAGCCCACTTAGAGTTTCTCCTGGAACATATGCACCCAGATCTCGACAACAGAGTTGTTGATGATGAAATGACTTTCTCGTCGTTGTGAGTTTATTAAATACCATCGTCCACCATGACAATGTTGACAGTGGAGGTCGTCGATGGCAGAATTGTCGTTGACGAAGAGGAAAATGAATAATCAATGACGTTGTCGTTGACAAAAGAGGAAAGGTACAAAATAGACAATCAATGACAGCATTGTCATTGATGAAGGTAAGAAGTTATTAATCAACAACGGCCTTGTTGTTGATGAAAGTGAGTAATCAATGATGGCATTGTCATTGACGAAGGTATGGATATGAGGGGATCAGTTCCTCATCTGTTTACGTGGCGCGGACCCGGACGGGCCAGACCCGGATGGGCGATTCGACGTAGTCCTACGAGTCATCGTGGACCTAGCTGCGTCGACAGCAACATCGTCGCTGAGATAGTTGTCGTCGTAGTGACAGGTCTCAACATCAGCGTTGTTCATGGACAAATCCTTGTCTTGACGACGGTGCGAGTAATGGGCATGGTGTGCAGGATGGCCGCATCCATGGGAAGTGGAGGGAGCACGCCCATGCACTGGTGGTGCGTGGGCGGATTTGTACACTGACGACTGTGCATACATCAGAGGGGGGTATTGTGGCAGAGGTGGGGCATTCAAATACGCCACAGGGTGTGGGCTCGCATACATCGTAGGTGGGTTTGAGTACAATGTTGGGGGAGGGTTCGAGTACATAAGTGCTCGTTCCTGATGTTGAATTTTACGATGCTCACGAGCATCGTCAGTCATTGGTTTTATCCATTGACATGCGAGGATGTACATCTGTGCAATACGAGCCAGGGGTACTGGTTGGGCCTCTGTCTCAATGTCATCATGCGACATACACATTCGTGAGGCATGGTTGTTTGTAGCCTGTCAGGGACTCGTCCGGGGTCGAGGGGGTCCGGGTATAGCGTCCGGGACCGAGAGCCTGGCGGGGGGTGGATCGGGCGTGCGTACTGACAGGCCCGATGTGGGACAGTGGTCCCTGGCCACTTAGACTGAAGTGGAAAGTTGTTATTATTATTAAAGGAGAAATATTGTACTACTTACCTGAAGTGGAAAGTTGAGAAGAAGGCTACTTCTTCGGTTCCCACTTCAGGTTCGTTTATATACATGCGGCTTGGATCACATGACGGATGCCACGTCACCCTCGCACACAGCCGTAACCACCCGGGTGTCTCCGTGGGAGATCCCGAGGGTATCCGGTGCAGGCGCGCGTGTTGGGCACAGCGGGAAGTCGCCCGAGGTGCCCGGGCCGGGTACATGGTGGGCGCGCTGCAGATGGGTCAGTTGTACATTGATACAGAGAAAGTCGTCCATGTAGAATAAAGAGAGAATAAAGGAGAAGTAAGATAAGGAGAGACTGAGGAGGGGAGGATGAGGGGGAAGAAGGGAAAGGGGGAGGAGGTAAGGAATGGTGGACCGGCGGGGTACCGGGTCAGGTTGGGCCGGGTGGAGCCGGGTCAGGCGGGTGTGCCCTGACAGAAACATCGGGCTCTAGTGACTAGAAATGGAATCAGAAAAATCAGGAAAAATAAGAAACATGTAGGAGGGAACATTCGCTAAGGGTGGTAGAATCATGGGATTTGGCTTGTTTATGGTACACCAGCAAATCCCCATTACAGCAGAGGTAATCCGGAAGGACCGGAGGTAGTGGAGGGTGATGGCTGTGGATGGATATGACATCTGCCCTCCTTGACCTGACACCTGGGTTCCCTGTTCAGGTTGTCCCCTGGTGCTTTTTGGTAAACTTTTGGACTTTGTCTAAAGTCCTCCCTTCCACTTTATATATACCTGTAGTTTAGTAACCATTGTACCTTAGTTCTGAAATTGACTGAACCTCCTCTATGAACAATTCATGTTCCCATCTTACAAGATACCCCAGCCCTATGAAATTAAGATGTAATGGAGGCACAGCACTCCCTTCTGAGTCGCTGAGGCCATGTCCTTCTCAGACTCTTCTACTAGCCAGCTTCCTGGAGAAGCCCCAGTCCACTACCTGATCTCCCAGAACCCCCTAGTTGAGCCCCATCTGCACCAGAATCAGCATATTATCGGACATAGTGTCAGGGCACACCCTGACTAGCCCAGACCCATTACACTTCCCATGTGCACACTTCCCATGCTGCATGCTCCACATGCCGCATGATCTGGCCCTGGATCCTACCTCATGTGACTTCCGGGTATCCCCGGAAGTCTTCACCATATTGGGGCCACTGTGGGAAAGTGAGAAGTTAACCTTCTTCTCACTTTCTTACCCACAGTAGGCAAGTGTACCTTACCTACTGTTTATCTATTCACTTTCTTACCCACAGTAGATTGTGCCCTGGACAGGGCTGTTTACAGGTCAGGTTGTGGGTTGTAGAGAGAGGGGTCATGTGTCATATCCATGCATACCCGATCCCGACCCAACTTCCAGACCTCCTCCTTCCCCACCTCCGGAGTCCTACCCTACCGCTGTCCATTCCGATATTCACCTTCGGTCCTGGCACCACACCACCCTTCACCTCCCATGCCACCTCCACTCCTCCGTCACTCTCCTGTCCTATCTCGGTCCGCTCCAATAACCACCTTGGACTGAACACCACCCCTCCTCCTACTCCTCCTCCTACTCCTCTGCTCCCTCCTCACAACACCTCCACCCTTCCGTCATCCTCCTACTCTTCTCCCATCTGCTCCGATACCCACCTTCGGACCTGACTCCTCTCCTCTCTTCCTTCCCCTCTCTTCCCTCTGGTCCTCTTCCGCTGACCTCCCACCAAGTTACGACCTTCCGCTGCTGACCCGTACTTCGTACTCGGGCACTGCTCATACCTTTGCTCCGAGCCTCCGTCATAGTTCCTACCTCGGACTTTGACTCCACCTCAGTCTTAGTCCATTGCATTGGTGACCTCATACTACGTAAACACCATTGCCAATATTCCTCAGACTTTCAACCCCACCTCCATAAGCTCCGCAACCTCCGAGCTTTGCGAATCATCTTCGGCACTTTCACCACTTGTAATGTATTTCTCGCATTTCCCCCTCATCCCTATTTGGACTGCTGCTTCTTCCCATTCTAGCCAGTTAGTCATCCTCCCCACTTCCCCTCATCCTCCTGCCCCTCTGGGCCTCGCCCTCCTTACCTCCTTTCGGACGTATCACAGGTTCTGCCTTATGACCTTCGGTACCACTCCACTTCTGTCATCCCTTTGTTCCCGTTTAGACACCTTCGTTCCGATTCAGTTCCCCTTCGTTTCCTTGTGCTTTCGCCCCCTCCATTATATATATCGGCGCTTGTACATACTCGTAGGAGGCTCAGTCCGAAATTGACCTGAAATGCCCCCTAGAGACTTCCTGCTCGCCTACTGTGAAATTAAGGACCAAATGGACAAACAGCAATGGCACAGCGCTCTGCTTGAGTCGCTGAGGCCAAGGTCCTTCCATGCTAAGTCTCTGATTCCACTCCGGAGTCATCTGAATCCGCCCGTTCTAACAGTCATGGGGACCCAGGGTCCGTCCCCTGACACATAGGAAACTGGTTACATAAGGTGATCCACCTCCACTCCTTCACCATGCACACAAAAAATTGCAAAAAACTCCATGGTATATAACCCACAAAGTTCAAAAAAGTGTAAGGGTTGCCAACCCTGGGTGAGTCTCAGTCCTCAGCTGTCAACAATATGAACTTGAATGGAGTTATACATGCAACAGTGCTGGAAGGAAAAGGCTAAGGAAAGCCTTTCCAACATTCCCACACTATTGTATATACACTGTTTATACCTATTGATACAATAGGAAAAGGAAATATGTAGGAAAGGGAAATAAGGGGTGGGGTTACCACTCCTTACATGGAGGATATGACAAAAACTAACTAATCAGATGGTGTAAGCACTTTTAGTGGAAATGGCCAGAACCCAAGCAGTCCTGGCCCATGAATTGGCATGTGCAGGCACAATGCAACCCATAATGTACAACAGAATACATGAATACACAGTTCAGCGAGAAACAGGAAAACTGTAAAAATACAAGACTGAAAAGCTAGGAATATCAGGTTGGTGAAAGGGGAGGAGGTGGGTAGATGCAACAGAAGACAAGCCAACTAAGACAAGCTGAACAGAAGTAGCACAGGCACTACAGTGAGAGTCCACACAAAGTTTATGCAAGGTGAGATGGACCTACTTGAAAGCACAGCACAACATGAAGCTAAGAAGGGAGCTTAGATGCAGACAACTTGTCCAAAGCGCACATGTAAGCTTCCAGCCCCTGTTGCAACCAACTGAGGACTTACCAGTCCTGATGGAGCAGACGCGAAGGCAGTGCTGAGGGAGCAGACAGAAGGAAACCTTCCTCCAGTGTCACATGCACGTCAAATCACGTGAGGATATGGAATGCGAAGAACTGACACCCGCAATGTCCCATCCACGCTACAGCAACGCAGGACCATGCGGCACCATTCAGCACCAATTACCGTCGAGATTAGTCGTGTGAAATAATGTTGTTCTTAAGCTGACCAGGTGGTGCGGTAGAAGTCGGCATGCTTGAACCTCGTCTTGATCTGGCCCAGGAGGTACCAGCCAGGTGTGCAGTACGTAACATGATTGCTAGTCGAGCCGCCCTTGTTGTGCCCAGAATGGAGTTGGCCAACCACGCGAGCTTTACCGTTCGTCGTGTGCCAGACGAGGGAGCCGGAGTCTCCTTTAGCGGAGAAGACTTCGGTAGTCTTGTCGCCCGAGTTGTAGATACCGAGCTCGACGGACTCGATGCCAACTTCGTTCAGAATAAATGAAACTAGGCCGGCGTAGCGTCCGACGGTGAGATCAGTACTGTTGCCGTCTTTGCCGACTATAAGGCAGCGCTGGCCTTCGCTGTCAAGCTCTGTAGGGTGGGCTAGGTCCTCCTGCGTGGCGCACCCCTCGATCCGGAGCTTCCCCTCGTTGGGAAACCTGAACGTGGTCGAACCGCCACCGAGAGGATAGAACATGTTTGTAAGGACTTGAGGATCGTACTTGGATCCTGTGTTCGTCAGACGAGGTAAATAAGATATGAGTCGAAACGCACCGAGATCAACAACGTTGCCCTCGAATTCGTCACTGACCTTCGCCTCAGCAGCTAAGAACGCAGCCCAGTCCGAGGTATATAGTGTGCCACCTCCGACGTCGACCGAGATGGCTGCAGCATATTGAACGTGCCCAATGTTGCGGTGGAGCTTGATGTTGGCCCAGAATTTCGTGACCTCATCGTGGAAAGCCTCGAGATCGGCGATAGCTTCGGTCTCGTCTTCCAATTGGCGTTGCTTCGCCCTGACGGCTTTCGCGTCCTCCGCGTCCTGCCTCTCCTTCGCCTGCAATGTAACAATATCTCGGGTCCAAAGGTCAGCGAGAATGACGCGATCAGCAATGGCCTTCGTGATCTCATCCAGGCCACGCTGGAATCGACGCATTCCACACACTCGAACGTGGTCCATGGGTGCGCCGCCTCTGTGCTCATAATCAACAGTGGTGTTCTTGCGCAGGACGTGGCAGTTACTGATTCCGTAAACCTTATTGCTGGGGTTGCCGTCCTTGTCTTTGTCTTCGTGGAACCAGAGTGTAAGAGTACCCTGGGAATCCTCCATTTCTTCGGTCGAAAGGGGAACGCCGAGAAGAGCAGTGAGGAAGCGACGGACATAATGGGTGGCATTGCTGCTGTCGACATGGCGCATAAGGGGTGGACCCGCGAGCCTCTGCGGAACCGCCTCGCGCCATTCCACAACAACATTGTCGACTCCGTTTTTACGCAGAAGGGTAAGGATCTCTTGGGAGACCTCGTGGGCGGTATCGGCGGAGGTAGACCCTGGAATAACGCCGATCCATATGACGACGGGACCGAGACTCCCCTTCGCCTCCTCTCCCAGCGGTGCATGGGTGAAGAAGCGGGCAGGATCGACGGACGACCAGTTGATCTTCCGAGCCTTGATCAGGTCACGAATCTGGGGACCGACAGCGTCCCAGACACGATTGAGCGGGGTATCGAAGACTCCGCGGAGCGACTTGACGGGGAGAGAGGCGTGTCTGCCTACGGGCTTAGGGAAGGGCGTAGTGAGGAAGTCCGACCGGTAGACGAGGTCCGGGTGGTCGCCGTCCCCGGTGATGCCGTTATAATATGACGTTTTCTCGTACACGTCGGGGTCGTGCACGGAGGCAGTGGTGGCATCGCTAGCGAAGGTGAGGGCGGAGAGATTGGACGCCATGGTCACGTCGCTTAGGGCAGGCACGCGAGGCGAGCTGTGGGCTTTGCGCTGCTGGCCCTGGAGGCCAACACATTGGAGAGCGAAGAGGGAGAGTTCTGGACGGAAGGTGGTAAGTGTGGTATAGACACGGAAAGAAATTAAAGGACTCGCTTAGCAGCCCCGGGTGCTCTCTCATAGTATTTAACACTTGCGCGGCGAGTTCGGATACCCCTATAAGGAAGATGGTAAGTATGGCATAGATTGTGCAGTGAGTTGATAGGGAGAAGGACGAGTGCTCCCCTCTCGGGATGACGAAGGAATGCCCTTGACGTGCAAAAAGAGGGACCCGCCTTCGCCTAGAAGACTGGCTTTCTTCAGTTCATCTTCCGTGAATGGCAAAGCTTCGAGAGGTCAGTGTGGAATAGACGAAGGGAAACGATAGGACTCACTTGGAGGAACCATAATGAAGTTGTAAACGCAGGTGTTGAGTAATTGCAGGCACCGCCAACTGCGTTGCTCTCCAAACTGAATTGCAACGTGACATGTACAGTTGACTTTGCATCCGATTCAAGCGCGTGATGCCATGGTCATGTGAGAGCCCAAATGGAAATTCATTTGTCAGATTCATTTCGAAACCACTACATACATGTGACTACAGTAGATCGAATAGACACACCCAACCCCCTGACACCTGCGATCAACAAAGCGGTCTAAGTCCCACATCCTTCAGCCGCCTAGTACAGCTTCGCACCGGCCATGCGTTCATCGGACAATTCTACAAACGCTTCCTACCAGGAGAGCCCTAGTTGCACATGCGGAGAACGAGAGAACACATACTTCTCGAATGTACCAAGCACGAACACCACCGAAACTTGCTCGCAGACGATGAAGGTAAACTGATCTTTGCCGACCTCCTGGTGGACGAGAAAGGAATAGAGAGGGTCGCAGGATTTCTGTCAGCGAGTGGAGCATACGAGAAAGAGAGAAGGACAGAATAGACACACCCCGAGATATGACACCGCTGGAAGGGTTTCGAAACCGACACCTAAAAACGGTCAACCCAACACGACAACTGAAAAGTGGAGCAGCATTTGGGCAACGCCTTATCAGAGAGATTAAGGACACCCGAATCGGACTTATTTCTTTATTTTCTCGCCTTATTTTTGTGTATTTATCTCGACCCCTGCCCTTGGCGCTCTCACGAGCAGCCCACAGTTTGCAGGTTAAATATCAACAACTACAACAACCCCCTGACACCCGAATGCACCAACCAAAATACCACCATGTACGCTCCGGTGTTAGGACGGGATAGCCGCACTGCCACGTCATCACGAGGCTGCGGGGTATTAAGATAGATTTATCATCGACCCAACACCAAAGGAAGAAAACAATTAAGGGAAAATGACCCACAACAACTTTTAAGTTTTGCTTTAGCTGTTAAGAATAAAAGTGACATCCAAGCCTTTTGCCCGACTCATCGCTTCTCACTGATGCCCCTCAATTTGTTCATTTACTGTACCCACGCGACCAACTACCGGTCACGTGTCACGCTGGCCTCCCGGTCCGGCCGAAATGACGGTCATGTCACGCGTCACGCTGGAGGTGCGGTTGAACAGCCTGTGTCACGCAAATTCCTTGTGACGGCTCAGTGGCTATGCAATTATATTTCAAATGCCCTTTTTAGTAATATTTATATTAGAAGTGAAAAATCTTCATCTCCTCCTCCAAATTGCGTGCCCGCCTTGCTCGCATTCCACGGCCAAGATCCAAGCTGAGGCTAGAGGAAGGGAGCATGGTGATGTCATCAAGGGTGTCGGACTCAGCTTCCTCAGCACAAGTCCGTCCCGCTTGTAGGCCACCATCAACTTCCTCGAGTCCATCAGGCACATTCCCAGCCACATGCTCGAAGACTTCATCCACCATCACATCAACATCGTCTTCTGGGATATCCGGGAACTCTCGCTCATGTACAGTAGAGTCAGGACCTGAGTAGATGTCACCCCCAATGTGTGGCGGCTTTCGTGGTGCTGCGATTGCTCTTGCGAGGTCAGGATCGGTCTGGTGAAGAGTGTCGAGGATTACACGTAGTGGACAGCTGGTCAGGCTGGAATGGGAGAGGTTAAAATCACCTGAACAACATAGTTGAAAGGCCTGTATTTTGTTAGCGCCATAGTTAGTAGTCATAGTGTTGTTCCTCACTTTACAAATTTTATCCTGCTGATTCATAACATGGAAAGTATGAACCAATGTTTCAGGGACACGGTCCCTCAGTACAGGAAGCCTGGTGTCGAGTTTTATATTGCATGAGGAGATCCCATTTTGCAACTGAGAGTAAACCTCTCGCACGGCAGCCGACTGCTGTGATTGCTTTACTGCATGTTTCAGTGGACGCTGGATGCCAACGTCACAGGGTTGCCATAGGCCCGTGCATCCACCTGGAACATAGTCAAGTATGATCCAAGGATAGTTGTTGTACATCCAGATACGAAATTCGAGAGATGTATGAACGGGCCACACATCAAGTTGCCAGATACACTCCTGCAGCGGATCGAGAGATAGCCGTTCCTTTGCAGCGCTAAAGTAAGGAGCCAGTATATGTGATACGAAAGATTTCATTGTTGTAAGGTTTGCCCAGTATGTATCATTTCCAGAAAACTCGAAAATAAAGCCAAGTTGCATGGCTTCGTCATGACTAGGGGCATGTGTCGAAGGCAAACTTGCTGGGGTCTTGCCACGGAAGATGGCCTGGAATGGCAAAAGAACCCCGCTAGCAGAAATGGCCACATTTAGAGTAAATGCACGCTTCTCATCATGCCCCACAGTAGAAACTTGACGGGATCCCTTCTGTTCGTATGTGGAGGCTGAATTCTGTTGATAGATCACTTGTGTCTGATCTGAATTCACCCGAAGACTATCAGGGATTGCATAGTGGCGGATGGAGTAAGCTTGACGAAGCAGTGAGCAGTGGATTTTTTTATCGGCATCAGGTGGGATCTTTTGCGAAGCACAAGTTGCCTGTCTCAAGCTCCAATTCATTTCTTCTCGGAGAAACCTCCGGACCCATGTCATGCTCACAGCGAACACACTCCCATCTTCCTTCACAACAGTTCTCAGGATTCCAGGCTGGGTATGTTGAATTTGGGCAATGATGATGCCACGGATTTGGTGGGCGTCCAATGCAGCACCAGCCTGTCGGATGCCCAGCAGCGTTCGCTTGATTGCAGCGATTGTATCTGGATAGGATGCCTGTGCGTCCCAATTCCTTCTTTAAGTTTTCAGAATACTACTAACCATTCTAGACTCACCAATATCCCCCTCTTCGTAACATTGCCTCCTGGACAATTTTCTTTTGCAACCTTCGCGAGCGTTTTGTTGGACCAACGTGGACATGACCCCGTGCGATCAATCCACTTACCAACGACATCAGGACGCAATGAGTGAAAGAGCCTTGGGCTTCTCAATTGACATCCTTTTGTTATTTCAGTGGGACTCATGCGCCAGCCAATGGTCGCCGCTACTTCAATTATTATTGTCCAGAAGGCAGGCTGGAACCAGTTCGTCGCCGTCGCAAACTTGCGCACTCTTTGACTATGAGGGTGTATTGCATTGTGAGTGGTCTTTCTGCGCTTCTGTTCTCTCAACCATTGCTGAATATGACGCTTCGGCCGTGACATCTCTGCGATCGGGACTGGCTCGCTTGGAGCACAAGTATTTGGTTCCATGTTGAGCAAGCGCTGAACATTTCTTTTCATTAGAGGCCACAGGGATTCTACTGAATAAACTTCACCTTTTTCTTTGTGCTGTTGCTGCCCATTTCCAACTTCGCTCTGTGACGCCATTGTCTTTCCCGTGCTAATGCTCGACTCCTCTCCAACTTCTGTCTTTCTGCATGTTGCCGTGCCAATTTCGCTTCCTCACATCTTTCAGCGATTCTTTCGAGTTCGATCGATTTTTGCTTCTCATATTCCTCCCGACTTACTCGGCTGAAGAACCGCAGCAACCCATGTTCCTGAACCCCCTTCGGCGTGGCCAAGTCCAACTTCTGTTTTTTTCCCTTTGATTTTCTGACATCTGAACTAACTGAGGACCCCACCATGGCTCTGCTAGCTCCTTGATTTACTGGGTAAGTCGGTTCCGCTACTGTTAGGAGTCCCGTCGAAGTTTCCATTGCTGTCACTTGGATCGTTGTACGGTCTGAGGTCATTGGCTGCTCAGTTTCTGCTACTGGGGTCATTACTGCAGGGGTAGCCACCAATGATGAGAATGCCATTGGCACTGGCTCGGCTATCACTGGGTCTGATGGTCCAGTTATTTCTGCTGAGGTCGCTACCTCTGAGGTGGCCGTCACCATCAGGGCAGTTGCTTCTGGGATAGGCATTGCCTAATAACATGTCGGTGAGCTTGTTTTATCTGCTTAGCTATGTGTGGTCACTTACCTGTGCACTATGGTGGTCAAGGATTGATGTGATGAATTTGACACGCAGCATTGCGATGTCTTTGCAAAGTGGGTATTTCATTGGAATAAAACAGTGCATCAACGCATTGAGAGCGAAGAAACCACATGAAGTGGCATCATTTTGATAAGCAATCGGCAGCGGTGCAACGTGAAATGGAAGAACTGATTGATTTGATTCCAGATAAGACATGTTGAGCCACCATTGAAGAGCATTGACTGCTTCCTTGGCTGCGATGTCAACTCCTGTTGGCTGGTGTAAGGAGTCTGCGAGGTAAATGGTTGATTCTGTGGCGGAGATCACAAAGGCAACCCAATGATTGTTGTTGATGTGAGTGATCCCACCAAACTGAGACGTAGTTCCAGATGAGAGCTCAGAGCCAAATCTGCGGAGAACTTTGCAGGTACAATCATTTGTGTATCTTTTGTGGCCGTTCCCATCCAGTTGCGTGGCACATCCGGTCAGGTACTGGACATCAATGGGGCTGAAGAGCCTAGCATGTATTCCGTGGGCCTCCAAATCCCTTTCCAGAAGTTCTATGTGGTATGAGATATCGGTGGTTACGAGACAGGATAAGGTGAGATGACATATCAGTCCCCCAATTGAACCCAAAATTGATTTTGAGAATCCAAGGACTTCGGTATTCCATTCGCATGACAGGAGTCGATTTATGGCCACTTTGATGGCAATGCGGTGAGTAGGGAAACAGCTTGCCAGTTTCTCAACTTGCGCCTCTGACTCTCTCCACATCCTCTGGACATTGTGAATCTGAAATAGGACTTCCCAAATTCGGACAATGCTGACAGGGACATAGCGGATGCCGATTTTTACTGAACAAGGTGGGTTATCGTCATTGGGATCATATTCAGAAATGATTTTCTTTATGATAGGGCGGGATGGGCAGGGCATGTTGCGGAGGTCACTTTCAGCTAATGCTGTGACAGAGGGCGGGTGATTACTGAGAGATGCAGATGTAATTTGTAGATTTGTTTGGAATGATGGGAGTTTGAACTGGAGAAACCCAGCGACGGACAGGGTGTGTCTGGGAAAGTAGGACCCGACAAGTGTATTTGGGATACCGCTGTACAGGACGGGCTCATCTGTATGAGAGCAGATATGTCGCGCAAGAGCAAAACCATCCATACTTAGGTGCAAAGAAATTTTAAAGGGAAACTCATTTTCAAATTAATCACATTTATTCTGGCTACCAAACGTGACCATCAGCATGTTGGTTTCCTTCTGGATCATGCTCCCACGGTCAAGGTCACGCGCCTGCCGGTCGGGTTGTCACTCATCAAAATGAGCTCCCGGTTCATCACCTGGCAGAAATTTTGTGTCACGCTTGGGATGCACCGGTAGTTGGTCGCGTGGGTACAGTAGTCTACACCGTCTATCAAAATGAGTCCCAATGTTTCTCACTTGAATTGGTGACTTCCTGCATTTTTTTTTTTGGTTTGTATGGTACCGCATTGTCGTGCTCGCATTTTTAGTTTTCAGTTGTGCTTGTCAGGTTCACAACCGGCCGAAGGCAGTGATTTAGATACATGCTGATGTTCACATTAGGTCATTTGTTTTGTGAAGGGATCTCGCGGTTACATCGCCATCTATGTCATTTCTAAAGGGGGGGGTTTGGAAAAGCGTGAAGGAGGGGAAGGGTGTGATGATATCAAAAGTAGACGATGCCTCGTCAATAACCACTAGGTAGCTTCCATCAGAACTTCCCCCATGGGGTCCCCGTAGCGACCCATTTTGCAGAAATCATAAGAATGAGAGACATCATCAGGATAGAACCTACAGAATCCTGATTAGCAAAACTTCCTCCTAGCCTTTTTTGAAGGAGAAGGGGGAGGGGGGGGGATCTCACCCGCATACGCTCCAACTGCTTTATAACCTCCCGTAGCATCATGAATAGCACCAGATATGGGCGGACCACATAAGGCTCCAATTCCACTCAAAGTGAATAGCATCCCCGTTCTCCGGCCCATATCCCCTTGAACACCAAATTTAGGATGTGTCAGCGGAGTAGCGACAACCCCGATGAAAGCACCCGAGGCAACCCTGTGCAGTACACAAGGGAGGAAAAAATTTTAGAAGGAGGGGGGGGAAGCGGATTCCTTATGATGAGAATCCCCATATTATCACTGGAAAAAAAAGCAAATGACGGGCTCACCCATAAAAAACCGATACAGTAATCAACGACCCCACACTCAACGCATAAGGCCAAACATATGTCATCAAAGCTGCCAACACCATGAAGAACCCCAAGACGTTGATAGGCCCATACCTCCCCGACAAAGCGCCGGAACCAAGCCTCCCAATACCCGAACATGCATTCGCTATCGAAATGAGATAAAAAGCCAGATCTCCGTTGATCTTGGCTACTTCGACTGCGGCTGTGTCAAGGTACGTCAAGGCGGTGAACATCCCAAAGAAGCCAAAGGTGGAGGAGAGATAATAAAGTGCAAAGTGGGGCGATTTGAATGCGGGGAAGTTGAAGAGGCCACCTTTTATGTTGACGGGGGGAAGACGACGTCTGATGAGGAGGTTCGCTGTGCTGGTTGTGAGGAGCATAAAGAAGCCTAGAACTCGCATCGTCCAGGGGAAGCTAGAGGGAAAACGCGTGGAAGGGAAAATACGTACGGAGCGAGCTTGAGACGAACGAGAGAGAGAGACGTACCCGATTTTTGGGATGAGGTTACGAGTTACGATGGGTAGGAGTGTCCCGCCTACGCTTGACCCGACGGCTACTAAACCGAATACGAATGGCCTCCTCCTATGGACTTGGAAGATCATTTAGCTCCAACTTGTTTTGTTGGGGAAAAAAAAAAAAAAAAAAGAGTTCGACGCACAGTAATTTGACGTCACTGCAAGCGTTGGTCCGAATAGGAAACCCGATGACGTCTGACCCAAAAAGGCAGAGAAGATACGTATGTAAATTTCCGCCCAGAAAGAAGCAGACGAAAGAGAGGGGATGAAAGGTTTTCGCTTACTCCCACAGAAATTCCTTGGCATAACATAAACTGCCAATATCTCTTACATTCCCCTACAAGGAACGTTGAGAGGACGAGAAGACATGTGGCTGGTATCATTGTTTCTCGGAAGTATCCAATGTCGAAGAGTCGGCCACTGATCGACCCCGGCATCAGGACGAGTGCATACTATGTGTGGGTGAACGGTGCATGGGGAGGAGGATAGGGAAGGTGAAAGGAAGAATGGGCGAGTTGTTGGCGACATCAGATTGGAACACAGAGGGAGGATTTTACGAACCTGGACTGAGCCTATCCATGCTCTGTAAGGCAGTACTTGTCAAGGAAAAAGCGCTTAAATCTTCTCACGAGACTTACATATTCGAATGGGACTGATTGGAGAGAAGCGTTTGTGAATAATACTCTTGAAAGACCTAGGGGTATACTCGTTAGAATATTCGGGGGCGGGCGATGAAGATAATGAGGGTTAGGATGTCGAGAACAACTCACACCCTAATTTGAATTGAGCCCGAAGGATTTGAATGTCAGAGCGCCCTGACGTCGGGGCGTCATCGGTACGTACCCAGGCATTAACAAATCCAAATCTGACCATAGTACGATCAGAGGATAATTGCTCATAGAGGGAAACAACATACGTCGAACATGTTAAGAGGGCACACTGGCAAGGACGATCAGTTTGTGGGGGTGATTTATTTGAAAGGGAATGTTAGTCCTATCTGGAGTGAGCAGTTTTCAACGCTGATAAACAACTCACCCCAATGACGACAAGCCAAGCTCTGAGTCCCCCTTCAGGATACTCACCGTCATCAGGAGCAGTGATTCGGGTATCACCGGCCCGTTCATCGATCTTGCCCCCTTCCACATCAACGCCCTTGACATCGTCTTCATCCTCCACCTTGGATCCTCTCTTATTCTCACCAGTAAATTCAGACTTATCGGATGGTGTTTCAATACTTTTCCTAATATTGGAGACCGTGTTGGCGTTCGTCATAGTTGTAGCGGATGAAAGACGCTCGAGAGGAAAGGTGGGGGTTGCGATGGGAGTTGGGGTGGCAGCGGTAGAAGGGGTCGACTTGGATATCGATTTTTCGTCAGAAGCCATGCAGGTATGGGGAGTTGGATGAGCTGAAGGGAACGGATTGGAAGGATTGGCTATATATACGACAATCAGTGAATCTTACATCGATGAATGGACGAACAAGAAGATCGGGGTAGTATATTGGAGCACTTGAGTGCCGTGCGTCAAGGGCGAAGGAGAAGGGAATCTTATTGAACGCACGTCGAGTCAAGATTGTGGAAAAAGAGGGCGGGTTGCGGACATAACCAACCCCGACCCATGGATGAATAATAATGACTTTAATTTCCATCACACATGGGCGCCTTGTTTCTGTTTAGCCGCTCATGGTGTGTTGGTCAGCAGCTTGCCGTAAACGATTTACGCGATGGTGGCAGTTTTGGCCAATGAGCTGGCTTTGGACGCCGATGGTTGCGAGCAACGACGACGTGCTTGCATGAACTCGATCTTATCGATGTGTCACCTGAACAACCTGCAGGCGAGGCGAATGTGCGGTTGAATCGGACGTATGTGTAATGATAGATGATGGAAAAGCACCCGAGGATCCAAATCGGCGTCTAAACATATCGGTGACGTATGGGTAAACACAACCAATGCATTCGTGTGACTTCAGATGTTCAATTGGTCATAAATGGGTCTCCCTTCAGTGCCGTTCTCATGCTAGAGACGTGCGAACGCTGGCCTTGCAAGTTGAAAAGAAAAAAAAAAGGAGGTGATGACTCATTTGCTCCTGAAGATTCGCACACAAAATTATTCATTTTGTCTCACACATTTAAATCATCAGCCACACCCTCGGCACAGTGCCTCACAACCGCCATGTCACGAGGGATGGAAAACGCCGACATATCGATGAAACGCCACAAAAGGCCAAACATACATCGTTAACACCATAATACCCCAAGGTCCATACCTCCCCGACAAAGCACCTGGAATATCAACATTCGTCAACGCTGGTTGGGGAGTGGAGATTTTCAATCCTCTTCACATCATTACGCTTACACCCAATTAATTTCAGAGTCGCGTATCTTCAACGATGCCATGCGCTCTTGATACTTCTGTCTTGATTGTCCTTCATCGCCAGTTATCACAGATCGCTTTAAGCGATATTGGCGCCAGTCGTATAAGACACGCTGAGCGCTCACCTGTTCTCCATATCGAGACTGAGTCTCATCTACGCGTATAGACACTAATTCCATTAGAACCAAACCTCCCAATAGTCGAACATGCATTAGCTATCGAAATGAGATAAAAAGCCAGATCCCCGCTGATCTTGGCAATTTCTACTGCAGCTGTGTCAAGGCATGTCAAGACGGTGATCACCCCAAGGAAGCCGGCTATGGAGGAAGAGTGTGAAGTGGGGCGATTTGAATGTGGGGAGATTGATGAGGCCGCCTTTGACGTTGACGGGGGGGGGAAGACGACGTTTGGGGGGGGAGGTTTGTTGTGCTGGTTGCAGATGAGAATGAAGCCTAGAACGCGCAATCGTCCAGAGAGGAAACGCGTCGAGAAGAAAAGCAAGGTAGGATGCAGATCATTCAAACGCGCGCAGTTTGAAACGAACGAGATGTACCCGATGTTGGGGATGAGGTTACGAGTCACGATAGGCATCAATTCGTTTTTCTGGGGAAGAAAAATGGATTCCACGCGCAATCATTCGATGTCACTGCAAGCGTCGGTCCGAATAAGAAGCCCGACGACATCTGGTCCAAAAAGACGGCGAGGATGAATAAATGAATTTCTGCAGTAAAGAAGCAGGGGTGAAAAGGAAGTGAAAGGTTTCGCATACCCCAGACAGTAAATCCTTGACAAACCATGAACTGCCAATATTTGTCACATTCTCCTACAAGGAATGTTGAGACGACGAGAAGACATGTGGCCGGTATCTGGATGAGTGAGTAGTACTGTGAGAGGGAAGGGAAAGGAAGGAGGGGTGTTGTTGGCGACATCAGATTTGAGCAGAGGAGATTGACAGACCTGTACTGAGCCTTTCCATGCTCGGTAAGGCAGAACTTGAGCGTGAGGTCGGGGCGGCTGTGTGTTCTCACGAAAGTTACATATGTATGTATTCGAATATAGGACTGATCGGAGAGAATAGTTCGTGAATAAGTAATGCTCTTGAATGACTATTTATTAGACGGGGAGCGGGTGATGAGACTAGAAAACTCACCCAAATCTGAATTGACCCCGAGAATCTGGTTAGTACATGTAGATCATTCACCTCTGATCAAGGTTAGGGAGTTACATATATAATGAATCCAAATCTGATCATATAACAGGTGTTCGCAATAATCGCCTACCGAGAACAATATCGAGAATGTTAGTCCTATCCAGTGTGGGCAGTTTCCAACGCTGTTAAACAACGACAACAAGCCAAGCTCTGTGGTTCGATATTTTACATCGCCTCTAGTATTGGGGATCGAATTGGTGTGCGTGGGTTGCGATGGGAGTTGGGGTGGTAGGGGCAGAATGGATCAACTTGAACGTCGAATTTTCGTTGGAAGCCATACAGAGGAACGGTTTGCGGGGCAGGGGAACGTGTGCGAGTCAGGAACCCACGTCAAGTCACGATGTGGAAAAAGAGGGCGGGGGTTGCGGAGGTGACCATGATGATATTGGGGATTTTTCAGAACTAGATGAGCGCGTTGTTTCTGTTGAGCCGCTCATGATGTGTTGGTCAGCAGCTTTCCTTAAGCCATTCCCGTGATACCGACGGTTTTAGCCAAGGAGCTCATTGTAAACTAGGCAGGACTCCAGCCTCTATGAGGTAAACGTGTGAACTGTGTCTCGTCGAAGTGTCATTGGTTGACCTGAACAACCTGCAGAAGAGTCAAGTCAAATTACGAGCGCTTGAAGAATCGGACTTTCCATCATCCATGCCTTATTGCAACATGGGTGTGGCGTCTGGGCTCATAGAGTAAACATTCCAATAGACCAATTCAGGTCACGTGTCAGGTACCACCCCTCACAGCCACAGACACCTCGAGGACGAAGGGTTAACGCCGAGGGCCGAAACAATATTGTCACCCGATTTGCAATATTGGACTTGGCAGCCTCTAGCAGGTGACCAGCCCTGTTGGCGCTCTGTGGAGGGCGGCGGAGCGTCAACGCGAGCTGCCAGAGTTGTAGCGCTCAGCGACAATAATTATGTGTGGATCTATACATAATTGGAAGTGCGGGGATGGACGGCCACATCCCCTCGGACATCACATGTATTATGTACTTGTTCGTCAAAAAGTGGAACAGCCTCTCCTTTCCGTCCTCTACGTTTCATCCGCCTCTCACTTTAGTAGCACATTGTCACTCCTTTAAGCAAAAACATGCACATCTCTCTACCACCTTCCCTTCTCTCCTTTCTTACATGTTTTCACGTCGTCGCCGCTATCACAAGTTATCCCAACTTGTTTGTGGATCCGAACTTCTTTCTCAACAAGGCTCTTTGGCCAAAGAACACTCAGCTTGCGGAGGATGCGATCATTCAGGGCGCCAAGGATTTGGCTGTACAAGGCCCTTGGGGTACGCCATGTCGTTTCCCCGTCGCGCTGCACCTTCAGGAGTGTAATAGGTTCTCTTGGCTGACGCGTATTCATCATCAGCTGTGACGAACAAGACAATCCTTCCCCCTAACAATGATACCCATACGTACTACAGTTGGCCTCCGTAAGCTTAACGCATCTCCCCTTTGGTGATACCCAGATTCTGATATGCATCAGATATGCCTGGCCGGATTGCTCCAAAGTAGGAAATAAGACAGTCCTCACTCCGGAGCAGATCTGGGTTACATGCCCTTACGGTAAGCATTCTGAACGCTATGATAGCATTTAATACTCACTCCTGTCCATACCACGCCCGACATAACCCAGTGACTCGCGATGGGGAGTTCAACCCTGATCAACACCTTGTCAACAACACGGGGGCATTCATGGCCCTCGCAGATACCATATTCTACAATGCTGTTTCGTGGAGCATTACAGGATCAGATAGTTATTCGAAACAAGTCATAACCCTTTTTTCAACCTGGTTCCTCAATCCCAATACGTACATGAAACCCAATTGTAAGTATCCCAATCATCTCCGTCCCTTCGAAACACCCATTGAAAACTCGGGAAATACTCATAGTGAACTACGCTCAAACTCTCCGCGGGCCTGGCGTTCAGATCGGCCAACATACGGGGGTGTTAGATCTGAAGTGCATGGCGAAAATTGCGAGTGGCGTCTTGATGCTCAAGTTGGGAAAGAATTCGGATTGGACGGTAGAGATCGATAATGGGATGAAGAATTGGTTGCGCGAGTATATCGTGTGGATGACAACGAACACGCTTGCATTACAGGAGAGGGCCTCGACGAAGTGAGTCCCCCTTCATTTTATGAAGTAAAGACTTCGTTGTTTATTGGTATCAATTAGTAACCACGGGACGTTTTACTTTAATCAACTCACGGCACTTTATCTGCTGGCTAATGATTGGGCTGGTGCTAATGCTACACTTCAAGCGTATTATTCTGGAATATATCAGAATCAGATCTTGGCGAGTGGGGAACAAGTGCGTGTTGCTGTCTATTCCTACCGCCGTGCAGATTAGTAGGACTGACACTTTTGATGAATGTGTTGTTTATATAGCCCTTTGAGGCCGAGCGGACACAGTCAGTGGAGGCCTCATTCCTGTGTAGTCATGGATTTCTAATTTGACTCGTAATGCTTTCATAGTCCGTATCATTATCGGGCATACAATCTCGCGGGCATGATCGTGCGTTTTCAAATACCCCTCTGTTATCCTCACCTTCATCCCTACTCATTCCATCTCCCCCCACCTTTTTTTTGCTCCGCATCATTCCTGCTTCGCTGGCCGAGATGTCCAGACGATGGCCAGACTAGCCGGATACATCGGTTGGGACACTTGGTCCCTCCCAACAAAGAACAACGGAACAATTCAAAAAGCGACCGATTACGCCATGTCGTTCGACCCAGCTGCTTCGAACGAAAGTTATGCGTTGAACGAAATGTTTTACGTCGTTGGGGATGTGGCGAGTAAGTTTGGAGACCCAAGTGGGAAGTATAAAGCTTTTTTGGCAGTGTGAGTATTTGTTTACTCACTTCTCGGTGCCATATCCCCTGGCGGAGTCCTGAGCAGTTGGCTGATGATGGTGTGTTGGGTGTAGAGTGGACCCCTCGGAGCCGTTCTTCCTTTGGACTGAGAATACAAAGTGAGTGGCCGTATGGCAACTCATCATTCTCCATGGAAGGCTTTCTTCCACCAATGGTTGTTTTACGCTATGTGTATCATTGACATTCCGCTAGGTCTGGAGATCTTATCAGTTCGAACTCAACGCAAACGACCAGTTCATCG